GACAAGACTAGCTCTAGTTTGAAGTAAATCTCCTAAACCACATCTAGTCATCATCGGGCTCTCAATCCCAATTGCTTTAATAACTTGACCTCCTCCTATTGTGGTTTGTTGCTTGATATGTAGATGTAGCCTTTGAAAAGATGTCAGTGTTTGAACACTGTTATTAATACATGGAAGCAATCAGAACATTTGTCTTTCAAAACAGTAGTGTTTAGGCTGGAAATGAAATAATATTAAAAAAAATAAGAGAAAAGGGTAGCTGAACAGTTAGACAGTAAAAAGTCACTATAATAAAATGTGAGCACAGTTAATTTAAATTACTTGACACCCCAATTAATGAAATACTATAAATATTATAAATATCACAGTAATATTAATAACATTAGTATAATATTATGCAATGTTACTATATTTAAACTAATTGCTTTGTTTTATTCAAATGAAAGATGAGACACATAAAAAGGTCGTGAACATGAATATATTGGACTAGCTGACAATTATCCAAGCCTCGTAATTGAAATAAAATATTCAGTAGGAAAGATCTAAAAGACATTTCTCTGTTGTACAAGGTTGCACAAAAAGGAAGAGGAAGCAAAGGAGCAAATGAAAGTCACAAATCTGCCTTTGTTGCAGCAAAACTGAGCTAAGTGCAGAAATCCAGGATAGACACAGAAAGTCTTTTTATTTGGAAAATTTTAAAACAAGATCACGAAAAAAATTATTAAGAATGAGAAAGCAAGGGGAGGGGAGTAGAACAAAAATGAAGCAAGGAGCAGAAATGAGATGCAACAAGCTTAATCAAAACCTCTATCTGAAAACCCAGTGTTTTTCAAACATCATTGTGTCATTCATGATCAAATTTGCATCTAAAACGTGAGAATAACAATTTCAAAAGCAGCTACTCCTCCAGTGCCTCAGGTGCAATTTTCAGTGCCAATAATTTTTTTCATTTAGAAGTGGAATGGAAATGTTGAAAAGAATTGGCTTGGAGCCAACTAAGGTGGGTTGTTTTTTTTCCCCTTCTCACTGATAAAAAAGTAAACCCAAAGCTTTTAGTGTCAGAGAAGAGTTCCAGACAATCAAAAAACAAATATCCCATTTCATTCATAGATACTTGCTAAAAAAGCAAAGGAAAACAAAGTCTAGCTTCACAAAGTTGTCACTGAGACTCTTTCTTTTTAACAATATTCAGCGTGGTTTAGATACTTCTTTAGGATCTGAGAGCCCCAGAAACAAATCCCATCTCCACCTCTTAGGATTGCACCTTAGGGAAGATGTAAATTATCAGTCTGAGGTATAACTGGGAATAAGGAGCTCTTCAACTCTTAATTTTAAATTACCCATCAGTCCCAGTTCATTTTTGTCACTGTACAATACAGTTCCCTCCTTTAAAAAGAGCGTAACACTTGTCTATCCCACAAATGTTCTGGAGGGATGTCTGGAATGAATTCTGGCAATGAAAACTGTAGGGTAAGTGCTAAGTATTATTAATTTGGAAAAGAATGTGCTACAATTATTCTAGAAATATAGCAAAGATTGATCATTAAGTTAGATTTTTAAACATGAAGACAGGAAATATCATGCCTACCAACCTGGTCCACCACCTCCTCACTTGATCATGCGTTGTCATCTCCCTCCCCTGTCACTCCTACTTACAGTTCTCCTCCCCCAGCAAATGATCACTACTATGTATTTCTTGTGTTTTCACACCTCTTAGGAAACAATCGTAGATCTTTCTACATAGGGTACAAACGCAGCTTTTGCCCCACTTGAGGTGCAACCTCATCTCTTCCCAGCAGTTCTTAGTCCTCAAAGAGGGGACATCCCATAGTCATAAAAGCCAACTCCCCATTTTCAGCACCAGCTGTGCAAACGACAGTTGACCTACAGGATCCATCCATTCCTCCAGCCCTACCCCTCACCAGTAGGATTGAGGAGAAACCACTTGGGCACTTACGCCTTTGACTCACCCTACAGCAACGCAGTCGTGCTTGAAACGCTCCACGTCTTCCCTGGCAGTGTCGGTGCTGACCACGTGAAAAAGCAGCAGGGAGTAGGAGCCTGAGGCCCAGACGAGACTCAGCATGCTCTCCACATCCTCCCAGATCTCAGCCCCCCAACAAACCTCCCCAGAGAGCACGCTGGGGCAGCAAATGGGAGCTTCCACCTCCCACAGCAGGGAGTCTCCAACTCTTCACCTCCTCCTGCACGGTTCAGGCTCAGCCAGCTCAGATGCTTTACTGGAGAGAGCTTCCAGCCTCTCATCTGCTACCAGCACACTGAAGCTGTTCTGTAGCTGCAAATGTCACTCCAGTCTCTGGTACCTCCTCCAGTCATCCCTGACCTTTCAAAGCTATCTTTTGTTCTGGCTTTATACAGCACCTAGAAGGATCCACGTTTGTTTCCTAAGTGGTGTGATAATACAAAACAAACTAATGATCATTTGGTATTACCTCAGTGTAATGATGGTTAAGAGTGAGAGATAAGTGACAGGTTATTTCAGCTTCCATGCTGCCTCTGTGGTTCTTGGACACTATGATAACTCGTACATATACAGAGACAGAGAGAGAGAGACTTATTTATGGTAAACTTTTATTAAATCAGGCTAGACATCGAATCCCAAATTCTTGGCTTCTGAACTGCTCAGTTTAATGAACAGACTCAGCCTAAGGCATTTTAAGGCATCTCTTCAATTACAATCTTCTGCTGGAACTTAGAATCACTTTGCAACAGAGAAGCCTATGAAATTGCCGAGTTTCACGGTAGCATGTTTTTGTCAGCACGAACATTCTGTAATCTTTGGATTGTGACATCTTCATCACTAGCTGAAATATGGATCAGATTTGGCTACTACAACATCAGATTAAAAAGCAGCATGAGAATATGAATAAACCAACAACAAACAAAGAGGAAATAGCTCCCTATCCAAGCAGAACTTTTTTCAAATTCTTAGAAATACGGATCTGCATTTCCAAAGGCAGCTAGACATTCTGATATTTGATATGACACATCAAAACAGGCTCAGGTCTTCATAGCACTAAAGTTCAGCAATCTGTAAAAAAACAAGATCCACTTTAAGGCTGGATGAGACACCACATCATGAGCCCCCCAAACCACTGGTCAATTTTAGGGAAAGCCTGTAAAAGGGAGAAGCAAAAATAAATGCATTAACTTCAGTAAATTGAGCAACATGGGTATATATATTTTTATCTTTTTCTCTCTTCTATATCTTTTCCCTTCATTTCTTACAGTTTCTATCTCTGCGTTGCTGGAGTGTTCTCCCCTCTCCAGTTTTCCCTTCAGGAATTGCTGACCTTCTGTTCTGTCTCCTCTTTCATTCCCCTTGTCTACTCTTCTTCCTTTTCCTTTTGCTAGTGCCTTTCCTTCTGGCACTAAACTCAGTAACTCATCTTCTCTCTAGAAACGCCTCTTCTTTTTTGTCCATTTCCATGGCCTGTACCTACTCCATCTCCCAATTAGTATATTACCACCTCATTTTTTTCCCCAGATCCTTACACAGAAGAGGGTGTGTGAATGGAAATGGTTGGGTGAGTATAGGAGCTGAAGCTAAATTCCTCCCAGTTTTTCTCCTGTCTTGTATCTTTTCTGCCACCCTTTCTCTCATGATACCTGCCTATTCTGCTGCAAAACAGGCAGTATAGCTAGTGAGGAGAGCATCCCTTGTCTCTAGCACCAGTGCTGCTAGATAAAGGTACATTTTGATGAAGGTACATCTAAATTCCCAAAGGAAAACCAACAGATCCCATAAATACCAGCATCTAAATCAATTTGAATAAACTACTTTGTTTTAAAGCTGTTCTTTCTTCACTGATCTTAACAGGAAATGGAGGAGACCAGATCTTTGAAAGCTCTGTGTGCCTTCACTAGAAGCCTCAGGCACCTGAGTTTTAAAAATATGCCAACATCCCAAAGCTCTGAGGCATTCTTTGGTGGTATTTTCTATGGTGCAGCTAAAATTTTCCTAGTTTAAGTACATATTGGAAGTGACTGCAGTTAATACCTGGTATAGATTAGGCCTGCTCTACAACCAAAATATTCCTATGAGTAGTAACTCTAGAGTAAAGGCAGCATGGCAGAAGGCTGTATGGGTTAAACACTTCTTATACTGACAATAACTTAATTCATGCTGCTGTCGTAATTAAGCTGCCACTACCTCCAGAACTCACAAGACCAAGATAGGAAGAGCTGCTAGTCATGCAGCTAGCTGTATTTTTAAACCACTGGCCCTCGAGAACATGGGAAGGATCTTCATTTAATGGCAAAATATACCGAGTTCATATATTCTGCAAGCTCATGGCACTAACAATATTCCTCTTACAAAGCTAATGAACTCTGCTTCCTTAGGGTTGGAAGCTTTCACCTTCCACTGCAAAATTAACACATTTCACTGAAGGAGAGAAGGTGGGCACATTGAGAAGACTACACTAAAATCTACCAGCTCATAAGGAACAGGTCTGCTCCACAAAAGCCACACTCCACAGACTGTAAAGAAAGAAATACATGCCCCAGAGCACCAGCCGACCATTGCAGGCAAACGCTGAAGTGCCCAAAATGATACCTAGATCAATCTCTTTTCAGGAGGTGTGTTGGAGGAGGGCTTTTCCAAATATTTGAATTCGTTAAGGTTGGATGTTAAGAAAGGCAAGTAAGGGTCACTATGTACACAAAACCAACTCTCACCACTTATCAGTGGGAAACAGTGATTATCCCACACATTTACAAAAGGTTTCAGAATATGAAATAAGGTGATTCAACAGGGCAGTCCTAAACAGGTTTCTCATGCAGAGATTTCAAGTTTGTTGGCTACTTACTAAAGGAAGAGGGTGGTTAGCTCTGCAGAAAGATGCCCAGAGGTGATTACTATAAGACTATAGAGGTAATCTGCAGTTCTGTGAGATGTCTATGAATTATAAAATGATACTACCGTGCAGTTTTAAAATGCGGTGTTTTAGTGAAAGTTTCTTATTATTGACTCTTACTTTTCATTCCTGCATGCCTTGAGTAGAATTGAGGCTGTAAAAGTAAACCATTTCTGTTCTGTGACACTGGTTTCAGGCTTCCAATGGAGAAATTCTTTTTCACACTCCAAATTCCTTCCAGAGCCACTGTTAATAATTTGTCAAAATAATACCATTATAACTGATTACTTCAACTTGTTCTAGAATTAAGGTAACTTTTAAAAGACAGTCCCTTTGGTCTATACAGTAATCAGAAGTAGTTAGGCAGAACACTATAATCTTCCTCCACAGTTAATGAAAAGAGATTGACATCTTCAGAGAGCAATTCAGATTGCTAAAGGTATACGACGGTCTCTGCTGTCCGTAGAACAACTTAGGACTACTAGGCTCCTAACTGAAGCAGGATGCAACTGATCGATAACATGTAAGAAACAGCAGTAATATCACTGATGCATCCAGCATGATTTATTGGTCATATTGGAACACCAAATACTCTCATAAAAAGATAGCAGAACAACAACCCCACCCCGCAAAAAAAAAAACACCAAACCCCCCCCCAAACCAAACCAAAACCAACAGCACCAAAACAAAAAAGCTAATTTATTTTGTGCAAAGGTTACAATTTACTAACCATCTAATTTCTGTAAAACAATAAATTTACTAATAATCTAAACTGTATAAATCAGTAACCAACCAACCTGACAATTGTTGTTTATCAGAGCCCAGGCCACTTTGGGACCATCTCTAATTCCCCAGACGTACAGATGAAAAAGGAACTAGGTACTGAATAATCTGTACACAAGCATCTATTTGACCTTATTATACATAGCATTGTTATGCTACGTGTGTAACTTTATGCTATACATACCATTTATATACTGAGCTTGTTATATATCCATATTGTACATTCCTGTAATGCATACTTTTGTAGTGTTTCTATATTATCTTTAGTACTTTAAGCCTTTGTAACATACATTTCATTGGGGGACTCCCCAGAAATCATGAGAACATATATGGTAGCATCCATTTATACGATCAGACTGAAATATTCCAGACAATTTTGATCCATTGGCAGACGGATGCAGTGAAATACAGTTATCTTCAGCTCTTAGTAACATCAGACACCTGAGCAGATCGAGCAGACCAGTGTTAACACCTGCAATTCCGCTACTTGTCCAGAACCCCTTTACAGTCAATGGGAAAAGAACCAGCACTTTTAGAGCACGACACTTGCAATGGTAGGTATCTAGGACAAGTCAGAAGAATTGCATTTTCAAAGTGCCTTTTTCTCTCCATTTACTATAAACAGAGCCTACGTAAGTCATTCATTTGGAGGTGTGTGCAAGGTAATTGCCTAACTAGCCTAATCGGAGTAATGGAGTCTGACAGGACTCTGATTACATCATGTAACTTATGTACATTTTTGTCTGTGAATCCAACTGTCTTAAATTCATTTTGAGTGAGTTTAGACTTGGGCCTCAATCCCACATAAGAGAAATCAGACCTTTTTCCAAATTTTCCACATTTGGAAACAAAGGCAAAAATGCCCTTACTACATTTGTGGAGGATTTAATGATTAGGAGATATAGTGGTGGGCTTATTCCAACAAAATGCACCTTAATTTAACCAAGGAATAGCTTTACTCTACAGAAAAGAACGTGGGGCTACAGAATGGGAACTGTGTCTTGTGGAGCAAAAGCATCATGGATTTAGGAGTAACAGTCAACCAACAGTTCAAGGTCCTAGTGCTAATGTTAGCTCTAAAATAAGTAAATGATTCTCTCTCTCTACAGGCTACTAGTGATACAAATACCGAAATACCATGATCAGATTTGGAATTCACATTGTGAAAGAGGAGGTAAAACAATTGATGAGAGTACATAAAGAGCCAAAACCAAATATATGTGTATATAGCTTCTCTGGAAGAAAAGCCTGGATACTAAACAAGGCATTATTATCTATCCAAGAAAAGCAAGGAGCTGAATCATGCAAATCCGAATTATTAATCGGGCTTTTTTTTTTTTTTTTTTAATACACCAACAACTAGAACAAACTAATGAGGGAAATTGTAGAATAACCAACTTTACTCAGTGGACTCCACAGAGAGGTACCTAATAAAATACAACAGCTTGGCTGATAAAGGCAGTAAGAAAGAAGTTTTAGTCAACCAGATAAGATGACCTATCTGTAAACATTATAAACTTCTGAAAATTAATTTTCTACAATCAGATTAATAGATCTCATGGCTGCAGAAGAGCACCAGCATGATGTAAGTTTTGTTTTACATGGGTCACATGGCTTCAGGCACATTCCTGCACCAAAACTAATGAATGAGCTTGGACCAGTGCTAACAATTTAAGTGCAAAATATTTAAAGTGTGTGTTAAAAATGGTGAATCTAAGTGATCTTTGTTAAATTGTTTCAGTATTAAGTTCTCTTTTGTTAAAAAACGCTAATTATTTCTACTCTGATCTTACCTCATTTTTACCTCCAGTTCTCAGAACTTTTAATAGTTTAGCTAGACCGAACACTTTGTTCCATTTCATCATTGGTCTACTGTAATCAGGTCTCTCCATAACCTTTAAGCTGCCTAAACAGACCGTTTTTCTAATTGGTTTCACTGTTTTCCTCTCCTTTGTTTACCTTTATCATTCTTACCTCCACTCTTTCTTTTTAACACCAACTTCAGTTTTGAACAGCAGAAGGAGACAAAGTATTCTAATAACTACAGGACTTTTTTCAAAGAAAAAGGTAACAAAACCTCCCTACCGCTTGGCATTTGTTTCTGTTTTATTAAACTGACAGACCATATGGAATTATCCATGTTCTCTATGGTCCTGTAATTTCAGATTTTTAAAAAAAAAAGTAATAAAGACTATATGCAATTCTTCTGTTTCTAAATGTTCCCTAGGCTATTACATAAATGTTCTGGGCTGTTTTTTTAAAGTAGTAATTTTGCCACAGTTCCTCAAAATAATTTATAGTCCATTTGCCCTTACAAAACCTTGCCATTTGTTGATAAGAAGGATTACCTGCAGCTGGATGTTTAACATGGCATGCTTCTTTCTGAAAAGCAAGCTCTTCTTCAAGTATTTCTTTAACTCTCCTAGATGGCTCAACATATACAAATTTCTTCCCTGTTAGTAAAACATATTACAAAAGAACCAGTTATTTTAAATCCCCCGAATGCTAACGTGCTTCGCCAAATGTAATGTCATTTCATGCTGCTCTACTTCTATCTTTAATACACTTTAAGACAAATCGTTTACAAATACACAATAATGTTCAGGCAGGCCCTGCTCCCCAACGTCGAGCGATCCTCACGAGAGGACCGTGGTGGGTAAATTTAAAAGGGGAGCGCTGATGGGCGGCAGCGTGGCGAGGTGTCCCTGCCCCACGCAGCAGCCAAGGCCACCCCAAAGCCAAAGCACCCCACAGCCACCGTGTCTCCCCGTGGCGAACAACCCCTTGGAAGTCTCCGAGGAGATGTCCTCGCCGAAGGAGATCTCCAAGGAGCTGGAGGCGGATTAGGGCGCTCTATGGCAGCGGGGGAGTCCCTGCCGGACAGGGCACTACCCACGGCCCTGCCGTGGTGGGGTGCACGGTACCGGGGGAGGCGAGGGGCCACCAAGCAAGGTGGCTGCGGGGGAAAGGCTTGGGGTGGGGAAGGGGAACAGAGGCCGCAACGGGCGGGGAGGGGGGA